TATGTGTGCTCCATTTTATCGAACCTGAATAATAGCAGGAACATTGATTTTCAATCAGTCATTTGAGAAAAGACAACGATTTTATTTCAGATCCTAGTCTCAGACTTCTAGTTGAATGACTGGACAGTAATACTGCGTTTATCTGACAAGTTGTAGTAATGGATATCCAAGCTATTGAATAAGTCGAATAATCAAAACCAGCCAAAAGACTGAAAAAATGCCCTTCTAGGCTCTTCTTGTAACCCAAGAGCACAAGCTTTGCCAATTTTCTATTGTACTCGTATTAAAAGTCATTTAATTGGAAAAAACACTAATAACCACATATATTTTAAATTTTTTCCCAAGAAACTGGTTTTCATCGTTTCAGCTTGTGTGTAACCAGAAACTGAATTTTGACTTTGTTAAATAACTGAAGCGCCGAATAATCGGAGGTTGGATAAGCCAGGTTTTACTGTACTTTCTTTCTTAGCTTAAAGATTTGAACTGTGAAAATTTCAAAGCCAATTAAAGCCAAATCCTAACCCATTCCTTATTATGTTTGCAGGAAGTTGCTTCGAAGTTAATGAAAGGTGAATTTGATGTGGATGAGTTTTTAAAACAATTCGCACCTCGCCGCACATTGATGCATCTGCGCCGTGTTAAAGCCGATAAAATGACAGAAATGCTAACAAAACGTAATTCATTTAGCCGGGTACCAGAGAGACCTATGCCACCGAAAGCACAACCAAATTTCGCTCCTTATTTTATACCTTCGCCCATACCATCTGGAGTAAGTTCAACTCCTTATCCCGTCTCCGTAAACATGCCCATGCCGGGAGTTCTTCAACCAAATCATTTTGCTTGAATGAATCTTAATTTACTCCATTGGTCACCAAAGACCTGCTCGCAATGATCTGGAAACATATCATCTCTTGAATGTAAAATTCTTGTTAGGCCTAATTTTGTTGAGCATTACATGCAAAGCCATCTCATGACAAACTGATGGACTGTATGAAAAAAAAAAACACGCAAGAACAACAGAAGTTGTACGTTTCCTTATAATACACCCGATGAGATTGTTACTCCTTTACAACTGGCAATCAAAATTAACTGTCCAAAAGTTTTCTCTCATTACTCTCCTTTTCTCCTGCCATTCATAAAAGCACAAATTGTTGAAGCTTTGTTTTGAACGTAGCTCTCTTTACTTTGATCCTGCAGGCTAATCCTTAAAAGTGATAGACATAGCAATAGACAAAGAAGACAAAGAGGAAATGGAGTGATCCTATTGGTTGAAAAGGCAGGATCTTAGAAAAATAATGGGGCAAACGATATATCTACTCAAGGGCCTCTCAGGAGTTACCTTCAGTTAGTCTATTACTTACTTTCTCTATCCATTCCACTCATAGAAATGCTTCATTTCCCATTTGTCTTCTCTGTATGCAGCTTTGATTATCAATTTCAATAATCAACCGACTAGATGAGACATGAACAAGTATTTTTAATAGATCAAACGGAAGTGAGATTGTTCAAATTGCCTGATGGGAAATTTTGAAATCACATGGCCAAAGATAATTTAGTGCTGCCCTCTTTTGCAGGAAAATAATCTTATGTAAACTCTTAGGACAAGTCAAAGTATATTTGTTGGGAGTAGTTTACTCATTTTAACATCTAAACTCTCTTCCTCTCAAAATAGTTCCTTCAGTGATAACTTTACTGTTTCAAGTTAGGATATTGCCCAGAGGGTTTCTGTTGTCGCGCAGTATTTGATGTTAAATTGTATTGATGCTGAAATTTATTTTTATGATTTTTAATGATGAAAGTGCCTGTTTTGTAATCTAATAGTTGTTAGAGAGATTTTGCAAGTTTTGATGTCAAAGAAACTATGTCGGCTTGTTCAATTTGTCTTTTTAAGAGGTATTGACATATTAAATGTTTGTTGCATGTAGATAGGGACGAGTTCTGTAGGACGATTTACTGGTGTGACAGTCGATCAAAGCGCAATCACAGGTTTTTCCATTGGCTCTTAAGAGAGTTCAAGGTCCTATAGAACTCGTCCCTGATGTGGAAGTATCTCATTATAATGGTACTTTAACTCTTCATCAAAAGTGTTTTTTCTCTTTATCTTGTGAGGATTTTTGGTGCAAGATTAAAATGACTCGCTTGTTCAGCAAGTGAGTTTTGATTGTTGCTTAGTTTAAGTACAGTTCAGAAAAAATCCTGTCTTAGAAGTAGAAGGCCGTTTCATCTTGATTTTGAGAATGAAGCAATCTGTCATATTCCTCCATCGCTTGTTCATGATGGTAGACATTGTTCAGCGCTCATCCTCCCTCATGATTTGAAAGTCTACGTCTTTGATTATCACTACGCTCTATCTTATAAGGTTGAAAATAATTATCTTGTGATGTTAGTATTCTATTGTAAATTGTTCCCTGCTTACCCTCCAATGTAAAGTATTGCCGATAGTACCATTAGAAATTAAGACTTAGTTAATTTTAAGCTTGTATGTAAGCTAGTGCGTAATTATTTGACAGCCATGGAAGAACTACGTCTCAAGTTCTTGAATAAACACTTAAAAGTAAATTTGACTTTTTTTAAAAATTTTAAACCAATATTTGATCATTTCACTAACTTCTGCAGAAATTTCATCTTGATACATAATGATATTTATAGATGTAGTTTCTGCACATTCAAGTTCATTATCAAGTTAATGCACTAAGAAAGAAAATACGCTAACAATGACTTGATTTTAAAATCTGGGGAAAAATAGAGACTTATTTTTTAAGTAACCACTGCATCTTCAAGCTTTGCTCCTTTAGGTCAATTATTAATCATGTGTTTTTCCAATGGACAAGACCATCGGTTGAATGGAGTTTTGTGATTGGTCAGCCAAGTTATTGTTCTTGGATCTGCAGGAGACTCCTATATCAGTTTAGGTTATTGATTAGCTAAAGGCACCTCCTTGGTGACCGACAAACGGTCGATTATTTGGCTTGATAAAAGGCTTTCCTACAAGTTTAGTTATCAAAAAAATAGCCACTCAATCACAAGGCTTCACTCCATCATAGTCTAGTCTTGTGCAGCGGACAAAAACATGATTTTAATGATCGGCCTCCTGCCTGGCCATTACACTTGAAATAAGGACACAAAATGAATTATTTTCTCACAACAGAATTTTAAAAAAATTGTACTATAATTTACTAAACCGCTTAAATTAATATTTGATACAATATCATAAATAAATACAACTTTTTAAAAATAACAATAAATAACATGTAACATAAGTGACGGCCATTTGTAAGTTGCCACTTTTTAAAATTATTGATAGCCGATTGTCAATTGATATAATAAATTTAAATCTCTACAGGTCATTAGTTTAGAGTTAACAAATCGATAGTTGTTACAGGAATGTTCTCCAGTCAAATTGAAGATCCAGTATTTTCGTCAAGGACTATTGAAAGTGTTAGACACCTTTTTTAAAAATAATTCACCCTGCAGATCTCACAAATTAGTAAATTTCTTAGTATTTTAATGTTATTGCAATTAATCTTCACAAATGAAAGAAAAATGCAATGGAAATAGATCCTAGAATTAATGAAGTAAATTAGATTTGAGTTCAATTAAACATTTTTCATGGATGAAGCTTCATTGTTGATTCCCTAAAAATGGTTTATGTTTTTTTCTGATTTTCAAGGATCTTTTTATCAAGTCCGAAGTTTTAAATATTTTAGAGATTTGGTTGTGGGGCGCAGAATATTGTTTTTGACCAAGTAAGAATTTTTAAAAAGCACTAAACTACACTTCTAAGTCATTGTAAAAAAAGTTTAAAACATGATATGAGAGGAATACTACAAAAATTATGCGATCTATTTGTAAGTACAGTTCAGGTTTCTAAGCAAAACATCTAAAATAGGAGTTAATGGTTTTCTGTCTCTTGTACACTGATATATTGTAGAGGCCACATTTTTTTTCAGCTGTCTCTAGGTGTTCTTAATTTTAACGAGCTGGTCGAAATATTATGCCATTTTAAAATAATTATTCATAAAAATGGTATCCCAAGCTGAGAAAAGTCTAGTCTACCCCTCTTACTTATTAAGCTTTGCTTCAAGCTCTCTTGAAACAAAACTAATATTCTATCTGTGTTTGCAAAACCACAAATAAATATCTTTGAAAGTTGAAAGGATTCAAAATTTTCAGCAGTAGAGAGCATTCACAAAGTCAGGTAAGTTAAAAAAACCCAACCAATATTCTTCTTTTAAGGAGAATTTTAAAATTTTGTGGACACTTTAAAAACTGTTCCATGCTCCAATGAAACGGGGAATTCAATTTTTTCAAAAGGAAAAAGGGATAACAGATGGAGAAAGAGAAATAATTATTGTTTCACAATAGGTCTCTGTGAAGAGAAATACAAAAAAATTCATTTTTTAAAACAAGTTTTTTTTAGTGGCACCCAACAATTACAATGCATACTTAATTTTTACCCAATTTCAGTTTGAGTATTTTTGAAACATGTTAAGTTTAATAAATCATTTCTACAGATAAATGAATGTGTGTCGACAGAATCGTGTACTGCGAAAACCACCAATGCCCATTATTCCAGTCTTAAGTTTGTTTGGGTTTATAATACCTTCCAGAGTTATAGGTAGACAACTATGAAAGATGTGTTAATATTGGTTTTAGGGTTATCTTAATCTCAAAATGAGTCATTGCACCACTTTCAATTTTTAACCCAAAGAACTTAGAGCTGGAAAATGAACATAGCGAGTTTTGCACGGCACAGTTCAATTAAGATCATATGTCGGAGTAATATAAAAGAAGTCCTTCAGCTGGTGAAGGTAGGTAGTTTTTCAAATTGAACGATATAAGAGAGCGAAAAATTCGGCTCTGATAGAATAAGTATTAAAAAAAAGAGACTATGGTTGCCAATTAGATCCAAAACCACAAGCTGTGTCGGAGTCGGAATCTTGAGCATTCGCTGTGTCTTTCAAATCAGAGAATTTTGATTCTGCTGATGAAACATCCCTCAAATCTGGAGTTGAAGGTGTACTGTGACTCATGAAGTCTTGAGCTTTTTTAGATTTTCTTTTCTTAATTGGAGCAAACTTAGGTGGAGGCATCGTTTTGTTGTCATTCTGAAACAAGATGATTCACTGTAGTGAGAAAGATGTGGAAATGCAATGTGTCGGTATCCAAAAACAAGAGTGGCAAAATAACTCCCCAACAAAAAAATATATTAGTGTTTCGACTTAAGATTTACGATTTTGAGTATATAAGGGCAAACATAAACGTAAGGTATAAGTAATTTATCTTTTAATATAACCGAGAATACTTCAGTGAAAAATTGCACCAAAAATAACAATGTTAAAAAAAAAAAAAAAAAAAAAAAAAAAAAAAAAAAAAAAAAAAAAAAAAAA